AGGAAAAATTACCTCTTTTTCAGTCAAAACAACTATATAGTGAACTACAGAGCCTTTGATTTCATCAGAACATTTATATTACGTGAAACAGTTTTTCTGCTAGAATCTACTCTAGTCTTCTCTTAAAAAAATCTATAAACTTTAAAGAATGAGAGTGGCGCGCCTTAAAATTTAGAATTGTTCCCTCCCTCTCCCCAGGTTTCTGACTAACCTATTAAGAAGGCGGAATGGAGATTAATTTTAAGTAATTGTAGGATACTGGAGTTTGACTTGTAGGCCCAGCCTTGAAACAGAGCGCTGTCTTTATGGAGATCTTTTTATAGTTGCTTATTAATGTGCTCAAAATACCTGCTTGCCGTGAAGTTTCTTGGTCATTGAAGGTGATGTTCTAGGAAAGCTTTCTTGGCGGTCAAGCCTATTTATCAAAGGCATTCTATTAAAAGCTTCAAAAACTTCCATGTGCTTCTTGTTTACCTGCATGAGTCAACGAAGCTTTTTTGAAGCTTCACATAGGACATCCTCAGAGATGGGATTTGGCTCCTGCATTAACAAAGAAGTTCTGAGAGAGTGGTAGGGACAAGGAGCCCAGTCTGGGGGGCACAGCCCTGTCCTTACAGCGACAGCCCTTCTTGTTTCTTCCCTCTGGTCTTTTTAATTTCACTCTGGGATAGGAACCATGAGTAATTACTTTGCATTGGTAAATATCTGTTCAAAAGGAAAGCGTGATGACTTTAAGTTGTAGCAGCCTTGGCTCAGAGTGAAATCTCAGAGGAGGGAGGTGATGGAAGCAGCCTGTATATACTTTCCCCAGCAGCAATAATAATGCCTGCTCCTTTCCCTTTTGTGTACGTGAGCGTCAAACAGACATACACGCTAAATTCCCACGTATGAAACGCGTACCGCAATGCAAATATTCACAGGTGTTACTGGGCACCTGTTGTGTGCCGGAGTTACAGGTATTTGCAGGCAGCGGGGCTGCTGCTGTTGGACTGGAGCATGGCATGCTGGTAGCTGTAGTTTCTCTAGGCTGTACCAAGGCATGAAGGGGAGGGCTTTTGCGGTTTGTTGCATCATGCAAATAGGGTGCCATCAGCTTACGCTGATGTGTCCTTCTCCTTGGAAAAGGAGAGTATAAATACCAGTAGAGTGTATAAGGCACAATGCTTAGATGCTAAACTGTTGGATAAGCCTAGTATTCTCTGCCTCATAACCTTGTGAGAAAGAATATGGCTTTAGTCAAAAGACCCACATGTGGCAGTTCTTTGAACATTTGTCTCTGACGTTTCTGTTTAGAGGAAAGTGGAAACAAAGGCGTATAAATAAAAGCAATAGTATGAAAGTGGATGTTGCTGGAAGAGGGAGACAAAGCAAAAAGCCATGTGGCCAAGATGCTTGTTTTTACCTGTGAACAACCTATGTGTAAGGTTAAAGCAGAGAGGTATCAGTTTACTTAAGGGATTACTTGGTTGAGGGGCAATCGGTCATCTGTGGGTTTCTAACCTAGACCAAAGGTTATTTCCTTCTAGTTGTTATTCATTGTAAAATTGGACAGCATCTTCCTTGAGCTAAGCATATGCCCGGATACTGGCACTTAACAAGGAGCCCTGCTGGCGTTGCAACCCACAGAACCTGAGAAGATGAATAAGCTTGGTGGAACTAAGGTTAAAGAATTTCCTTCCTGTTCAGGTCAGCTGGTGGCAGCTAACCCAAGGGTACTGAGGCATTTTTGTAAATAAAATGTTTGCTGTAATTCTAGGCCCATCTTGACTCTTTATCAAGAATGATTCTAAAGGTGAACACTGTCCTAAGCCTTAGCAGATCTCAGGTAATCAGAGGTCCTCCTGCAAAAATGAGGAGATGGTGGTAATCAGATGACAGCCCTTAGACATGTCAGGAGCTGAGTTCCAAGGTCCCAGTTTCCCCCTGAAATTACAGATTCCTGACAGGAAACCTTGCCTGATAATTTCTGCTCTACTTTAGGCTCTGGTGAGTCAACTGTTACTGGCATTTGGAGCTTGAGAGGTAAGGGTATGAATCTCCAAATGTTTCATGAATGTTACAGATAGTTTGAGATCTTGCAGGAAGAATCCCAATTCTGCTGCAGCAGGGCAGAACCATGAAGCTCTCATTGTTTGAACCCTGAATCTAAGACATGGCTCTGGTGGCTGTTCCTCTCCTCTCTAGAGATATTTAGGTATATAGTCATTAGAACTAATTCCTATACTGCACAGAAACCATGCTGATGATCTGCTTTGTTTCCTTTCCTAACAGGCCAGTGCACCTAACACCTCCCATTAATTCCCGAATGTCTTGCAATAGTCGATACCAGAATTCTTTTCCAGCCCCATGAGGCAAATGTAGGTGCTTTGACAGCTCTCCTACAACATCAGGATATATATTTCCTTGCACCTTTCTCCAGGGGTCGCATAGAAAAAAACTTCTTTTCACATTAAAAGCTGATTTGATTTCTCTTGGTATTTAAATGTCAGCATTTTCTTCACTGAGAAAAAGATGTACTTTTCTAATGCAGTATTTTATTGCCCATATTAGCCAGGTTTTGTTGTAGATCTCAGGTCCCCT